GGCTTTCCCTTCGGCGGGGGCCATGGCCACCCCGCCTCCGCACTCCAACATGCACGATTTGGGAGGCAAGAGGCACCATCCCGCCAATCTGCCGCCCATCAGCGACGCCCGCAGTGTCCTGTTGGAGGCCATTCGAAAGGGTATGTGGAAAATCTGTGACCCAGCAACCATACAGTTCTTATTAAGTATATATATACCGTATTGGCCTGAATATAAGACGGCCCTGATTATAAGACGACCCCCTCTTTTTCAAGACTCAAGTTTGAAAAAAGACTTTTTGAAAACCAAATTAATTTTTATACAGAAAATAATTACAGTACATCTGAAACAAATGATTATAACAATATATTTGAGAGAAAAAGCATGTTATTTTGCCTCTTTCAAATCTAAAGTGCAATCACATTCGTAAATGAATGGCTTCTGGTTTTTGAAATGTAAATTACATCATAACTTCTCCTCAGCTGCCGGTTAACCTCGCCGATCTTCGACCCACTTTTCTCCAGATTGTCACTACGTTTCTCCATTTTCTGTTATCTCTTCTATTGTTTTCTTCTCTTTTCTTTCTTACCGCTATTTTTTATTTTTCTTCTTCGTGCTACTGCTATTTTTATTTTTATTCTTCGTGACAGGGTTCACTTTGGCCTGGGGAGTCAAGTTCAGCATTCGCTTCATTGATATCTGGCGCCATCGAGCGTTGTGAATGGGTATAATGTCTAGACCCTGAATATAAGACGACCCCCACTTTTTCAGTCTTATTTCAATGCAAAAAACACCATCTTATATTCGGGCCAATACGGTATTTCCAAACTTTATGCATGGAACCAATACAAAATATGAGGCGCAGGTATTATTTTTGTCCACTTGAGGTCACCATCCTCAGGGGCTACGCCATAGTATCTGTGACTTTAAATGTGCATGGCTTTTAAGAGGCGGGGCCTGGCCGAATCAGAGTTGGCTCGACGACTGTGTATAACTTCCCCGTTGCAACAATAGAAATTATTTGAAAACCTACCACTAATCCAAACAGGACCTTACTTGTTACTTTTTTTTCCAAACCCCTTCAGGCATCCAGCTGCGAAAAGTGGAGGAGCAGCGAGAGCAAGAGGCCAAACACGAGCGCGTCGGCAACGACGTGGCCACCATCCTGTCGCGCCGCATCGCTGTGGAGTACTCGGATTCGGAGGACGAGTCTGAGTTTGACGAAGGCGACTGGATGGAGTGATGGACGCAAGAGGAAGCAGCCAGCACACACTTGCTTGTCGTCCCGCTCACTTTTACTTTTGTCTTGTTGTCTCGTCTTGGTTTCGGACGGAAAGCCTCCGACCTTCGTGTCCATCGTTGTCGTCTTCCTAGTGGTCCAAAATATTTTTGTTCTGTTACTGCACTACCACACACAATTGTGTGATGTTTTTTTTTTTTTTTTAGAACCATGTGGTTTTTGTCTCCTACCTGCAACGTTTAAAACAGGGGTGGGCAACCTATGGACGGTGGTCCATTAATGGCCCGTATGAAGCGTTGATATGCAATTCTAAAAACAAGAAAGAAATGGCTGGCTACTTGTGTGTGTCGGAGTCTGTGTCAATCATGTTTTACACATCTTGTGTGGGTGCTAACATTTTTTTCCACCCATCCATCCATCCATTTTCTGATCCGCTTTATCCTCACAAGGGTCGCGGGGCGTGCTGGAGCCTATCCAAGCCGTCTTCGGGCAGTAGGCAGGGGGCACCCTGAACGGTTGCCAGCCAATTGCAGGGCACACAGAGACCAACAACCATCCGCGCTCACACTTACACCTAGGGACAGTTTTGAGTGTTCAATCAGCCAGCCATTTTGGAATGTGGGAGGAAACCGGAGGACCCGGAGAAAACCCACGCAGGCCCGGGGATAACATGCCAACTCCACACAGGAAGGCCGCAGCCGGGATCGAATCCAAGACGTCTGCACTGTGCGGTCGACGCGCTAAACACTCGAACACCGAGTCGCCCTAACATTTTTTTTAACTCACTGAAAGAGGTCTACTGTACGGTTTGGGGCCATTTTGGCAACGGCCGGGAGTATTTCCGAATGTTAAAGCCCCTCCAAGAAGGTGTGTACACCCCCTTTTTCCCTTGAATTCTCCAAAGATCATCAAACTTTGACACCATCCTCTGCCTACACTGGAAGACATCGGCGAAAAATTTGCTAGCAAGAGTTTGAACCTTTCAAGATCCCGTCAAGTGAATTCAGATATTTGTTTGTAAGTAAATGTTTTAAGATAATTGCTAAAAACCTGCAAAGACTATGCAGTACTCATTAAATCGTTTTTCATTTCTTTTTTTTTTTCTTTTTTTTAACAAAATCAATTTTCTCTACATCTTCTCTGTGATGTCAAGTTCAGCATATTCATTTTCACTTTACAGGGACTTTAAATTCGCTGCGAGCCAAAATGGCAAACTTCTTGTTCAATTTTGGGTTTGGGACCTTGAGACTTATTTGTGCATTCTATTGTGATCGACCTGTCCACATAATTTCATGTCAATTGGTGAAATTCAAGGGCTGTTTTTTTTTTGTTTTTTTTAAGATTGAAAAGTTCATTGTATTTCCGCTCGATCCAAAGGCTGCAAAAAAATATTACACCACGACCCCCCCCCATCTCCCTGCACCCTCTTCATCGCCCACCCCCCAAACAACTTGGATGAACGGTTATAACGTCCAAAAACATTTCAAAATGTTCCCCACCCCTGGTTTAACAGACAAACTAGAGAAGGAACCCATGAAGGCATGTTGCAAATCGCACATTTTTTTTTTTTTTGCTTGAGAACAATTTGTGTGTTGTTGTCACGTGCAGCCACCCACTGACCTTTAACTCCAGGGAACTCAGAGATGAAGCGTTTCTGCCTGCTCGCCTGCCCTGTCTGTCTGTCTGTCTGTCCAGGTTTTGTGTAGGTAGACGCTTGTGTCCATATCAGGAAAGAAGAACTCTTGAGCCATTGTTTTTTAATACACCCTCAACAAGTATGGAGGTTTGTCATGACATGGATGTCCCTGTTCATAAGACGTATGCAGAGTTTCCGAGTTGCAGGTGCACCAGGTACAATACCAATGAAGGCAGCTTTTCCACCACATACACAGATCCCCCTTTACTGCGTAACGAGAGGCCTTACCTCGTTTGGTTCTACAACAGCAACCTGCGGAAGACATTTTGTGTCACTCAAAAAGAAAGAAAAAAAAAAAAACGCCAGCCATCATTACTGTCTGTCCGTTTGTTATTTCTTTCTACTTGCCTTATTGTCCAAATGTGTCGTTGAGTTGATGAATGTATTGTGCCGTTACTACTTACTTGCCTGCGCTTGTATGGATTTGCTGTTTCTGCTTGGGGGGAGAGAGGTGAGAAAGCCTGATTTGGAAGAGAAAGCAAAAAAAAAAAGATCAATATCATGTAACTTATGTAACTGTTACAGTTTGCTTGAATTAATAAAAATCTAATGTTACGTCTGAAAATGGGTTTCTTCGCGGGGGGTGGGGGGGGTGATCGGTTTCAGGGTCAAACTGTAGCTTTTTACTTTTATTTTACTTTTGTGTTTTAGTACCATGGTTGACCTGTGAGAGGCAGTGTGGTGCCAACAAGGATTGCGGGCTGCCAAAAAGAAATAGTAAAATAAAAAAAAAAGACAAGGCTCACTGTTAGCTTCTCAGCCAACTACAGTACAATCGCTTACCCCTGTCATTTTGTTTTTTGTTGTAATAAATGACTTGTGAGACAAGTTGTACAAACTCTCAACACAATTTATGGCTTGGTCTTAGTCGGTGTTGACACCGAAGATAGCAATTATGTTATATGTTATAAATATTGAAATGGTTTCACATTTACAATCATCAGCACGATCGATTTCAGAGCCAATTAAGGAGAAAAAAAATCACAACACATCCCAAGGAAATGGTCAGGGAGGACTCGCGAAGGTGAGCTGACAAATTGTCATACAAGTGTGGAAGGTAGTCAACTACCTAAATCTCAAGACCAAAATGCATACCCACCAATGGCTTGGATGACACGTGACAGAGTACATTTGGAAGCATGTGGCTTATTGAAGACTTACCCACGTCATCCTGAGCAGCCAGAGCGAAGACAAGCGATGCTCTTTCCTACGTCACACTTGATCACACTTCTTCCGAGATAATGTGACGTCATGCGTGGCCTCATTTTTCAGGTGAATTTGGCAGAGGAGCTATTGTGAGCTCAGAGGCTTATTAAAAAATGTGGTTTTGCTTGTTTGTTTGTGAGAGCAGATTAAAAACGATTTAATTACCAAAGGCACCGAGTTATTCTCCTCATGCTGGGAAGCCGTCCAACTGGGGGAGGAAAAAAAAAAATGCTTTTGCTGCCTCCATCGACGAATCACGGCGTGGCGTTTTCACACGCTGATGAGCTTTACAGCATCTTCTGGAATATTACATTTAACTGCTCTTAAGAGTAATTGAAAAAGAAGCGACAAGTTAAAAAGAAAGAAAGCTGCTCTGCTGCTGATAGTCCGAGTCTTCTTCTTGGCTATTATCTACACAGCAGCAGACTGTTCACTGGAACATTTGAAGGCAACCACAAGGCACACAATGCCACAATCCTTGGAACCTTTAATTACAAGTGACCCAATTTGCAACAGTCACATCTTTATTTGCTTAAAAAAAAAAAAAATACACCAATCCGAGACTGAAATAAAATAAGATTATATAATTAATATAATTATATTATTATAATAAGATTATAA